CAACAAGAAAACTTATTTTAGATAGTTACAAATTGATGCTGTAGTTGCTAGTATAGGTGTATAGGTTTTGGAAAGTACAGAGTTTCAGCTTGTTCTTGAAAGCAGGGGAGAAGGGAGAGAAATGAGTTGCTTTATTAGAGCAGTCTGATCTTTAGTTAACTTGGAATTTCAACTTAATTTCAGGAAGTGATGTTAATGGAGGCAATTAAATGTGATAATTACTAGAGAAAGTTGACTATGGTGCAAAATGGAATTTTCTTATTTAATCATAGAATCATAAAATGGTCTGGGTTGGAAGGGACCTTAGAGATCGTCTAGTTCCAAACCGGGCCCTTAGAGATCGTCTAGTCCCAACCCCCCTGCCATGGGCAGGGATACCTTCCACTAGCCCAGGTTGCTCAACTTCCCTGGGCAACCTGTTCCAGTGTCTCACCACCCTCACAGTAAAGTATTTCTTCCGAATACCTAATCTAAATCTACCGTCTTTCAGCTTAAAACTGTTACCCCTTGTCCTGGGACTGCACTACCTGACAAAAAGTGCTTCCCCATCTCTCCTGTAGCCCCCTTTAAGTACTGGAAGGCTGCTATAAGGTCTCCCAGAGCTTTCTCTAGGCTAAACAACCGCAACTCTCTCAGCCTGTCTTCGTATGGGAGGTGCTCCAGCCCTCTGACCATCTTCGTGGTCCTCCTCTGGACCTGCTCCAACAGCTCGATGTCCTTGTGTTGGGGGGCCCAGAGCTAGACACAGCACTTCAGCTGGGGTCTCATGAGAGCAGGGAAGTGGGGGAGAATCACCTCCCTTGACCTGCTGGTCATGCTGCTTTTGATGTAGCTCAGGACACAGTTGGCTTTCTGGGCCACAAGCACACATTACTGGCCAGCACCCCCAAGTCCTCCTCAGAGCTGCTCTCTATCCACTCTCCGCCCAGCCTGTATTTGTGCTTGGGATTGCCCTGACCCATGTGCAGGACCTTGCACTTGGTCTTGTTGAAGTTCATGAGGTTGGCATGGGCCCACCTCTCCAGCCTGTCCAGGTCCCTCTGTATGGCATCCCTTCCCTCCGGCGTGTCCACCACACCACACAGCTTCGTGTTGTTGGCAAACTTTCTGAGGGTGCACTCGATCCTGCTGTCCATGTCTCCGACAAAGATGTTAAACAATGCCAGTCCCAATACCGACCCCTGTGTGATGCCACTCATCACCGGTCTCCACTTGAACATTGAGCCTATGTTACATCTGTTTACTGAGTCCAGCGCAGAGTTGAAGCTTCGTTGTATTTCCATCTGTCTTGGATTCAGCAGTTTGAATGTGGAAGCCACTTAGAAAAACATTAAAGTGAATTTTGGCATGGCAGAATCTCAAATCTGTACTAGGCATTAAGTGACAGCCTGGTTTTTGAATTGGGTCCCAGAACCATGCTTTTTGTGCTCTCTGGTGATTTTAATCTATTAGTGAGGAAGATGTGATTTTTGTTTGAAAGACTTGAAGATAGTTACAATAATTTTACTCTGACCTGTCCTGTGACCTGTTCATCACTAGAGATAGTGTTAGTGAAGGCCTGCTCACCCAGTTGCACCACTACAGTTTTATATAACTGTAGTGCTGATGCCCTTGTTGGTCATCTTCTAGTTAGGAATAGCTCTTTCCAGAGTTAACTGCTTCCAAAATAATGATCAAGCTGAGGAAAGTCACAGTGATGGTGCAGTAAACATTTCGATGGGGAGTTCTGTAAATGAATTGGAGAATTTATAACACCATATGAATTTCTCTATGGTGCATCAAAGATGTATATTTGCAATTGCTAAATCTTAAGATATGCTAATAAGCATTTTAAAAACAAGTCTTTTTGTCCTTCTTTCTTGAAGAAAGTGGGACTAGTAAGGAAAGTCTAACTATAAGAGGAAAGGGTGAAAAGTGTGTAAGGGAACATCTGGAGGTACAGTAGTGTGCTGTCTACCTTATCAGGTCTGTTTCTGGGGTATGGACTAGTCTTAGTGATCCTGTTCTCATGATCTACTTTGCCAGGCATGCATCTGGGAGACACAGAGCTGATTGCAAGTCGCAGCCACCTTAAAATAGCTTAGGGTTACGCTTTGCTAACAGTGAGAGCTAGCATACAAGTACGAGGAACAGTCCTTTTTAGAGGTAGTCCTTCTCCACTTGCGGATTGTTCTCTGTATGCCATTTTAACTTGGTGTTTTAAAGATCTTGAGCAACTTTTCCTGGGAGCCTGAGCTGGCAATACTTGCTTGCCTGGGTTGTCAGAATTCCTAGGTGACTGCTATGCAAGTATGTGTCTTTTCATACTGAGGTAGCAAGGTTTTAGTACATGGCTAATTGAGTGATGTGGCTTTAGTGTTTACATATGATTTTTAAGGCCTTAACTTCTATGAAGTGCCTAGAACTCTTGTTTTCCAGAGCATCATCAGCTTCAGTCTTGGAAGCTTCTCAATGGCAAACATCAGTTTGCCAGCCCTTTCACGTGCTCATTGCCTTGAAGTTCGAGTACTGATCCAAACCTAAAGCAGTACTATGCATAAAAAAGGAGGTATGAGGGTGAGCCTGCACCTGTAATTACGCCGTGTAATTGTCCTAGACACCACTGGGTATGTATTTATGGTTGGCCCTTGTAAAAGTTCACATAGCTTGTCCTGGCAACCTGAGGCAATCAGTATTGCTGGAGCAGCCATGATCAGTTTTTATGCAGCTGAGGCCAGCTCAGGTAGGGCAGGATTCAGGGCAAGCCTGTGGGTGTGCAGCCTGGGGGTTCTGCTGGGAGGCCTGCAGATGAGGGCGGAGAGGCCCAGGGGCTCCTTATTTTGAAACTTCTGTGTGGTAGGCGTTTCTGCTATCAGGGCCAGCTGTAGGTGGGTGTGACTGCTGCAGCCACTCTGATACTTGCTCTGAGGTGCTTCGTGACTCACTACTGGGGCTGGGAGGCAGGGTGGCAGGAAACAGTGTGTAAGGGTGAGGGGATGCTGCTGAGCTGTTAGACCATGTAGGGGATGGAAGTTTGCAGTGAGTTTGAGGGGTTTGTTTATGGGTTAGATAAAATTGGCTTTAAAGGATTTATTGATTGATATCCATATGTATGTTGTTGGCTCTTACTCATGTTCAGAAAATGTGTGTTAGATTAGATTCACTGTGGCGGTGTATCTAGACCTCTACAGTATTTGAAAATCACCAACTACATCTTGAGTATGCTCAACAAAGTGTAATATTACTGTATCCATGGTACAGGATTACAGGAAATTAACTACATTAGTGTTTTCTGAAGTTTTGAAGTGACTAATATCAAACTGTTCAAACAAGCCACCCGGTAAATTTTCATCTTGTTTTTTCCTTTGGAAAGGGAGATGATTTTACCCCATAGTAGAAATGAACTAATATGTCTGTGTTAAGCAACTTACAGAAATACATTAAGAAATTTTGATTATTTTATCTTGGTAGAGTTCGGGAAGGTTATAGTGAATAAATAAAGGCTATTAACAGAACAACAAATACAAAAATATTAAACAGCTATCTCACTCCATAATCAGTGTCTTAAAAAAAAACCACAAAGACTTAGTATGACTGGTCATGGTGTACCTTGTTGCTTTTGTGATGGACTATTTTTCTAACCTGCAGGGTTAGAAGCGGGGAGGAAGAAGTTTGAAATAGTATTTTTGTCAACACTTGGGTAGTTAGGAGGCTCAGAAGATGTAATTTGCATTACAATCTCTCCTGTTCTGCACCATTATATATTATTTGGTCATCTTCTGTGTGTGGCTCTCAGAAGATTTAAAAAAAATATATTTGTTTTAATGGCTCCATTCACTCCCACCTGTCAGTCCACTGTCGGTGAAATGTTCTTTATTATAGTTGCCTGTAAGATACAGTCTTTGCCATTTGCAAAGTGCTTTCACTTCGTATTTAGATCACTATACAGTATGTGAAGCTAATGTAGTAGAGCTTGGTATTTAGAAACTGCTCAGTAGGCAGAGGAAAAATAAAGGCAGGGAGAGTGTTGTGTGTGGAATATCATAAGTTTTTCCCTCAAATGTGCAAGAAAATTATCGTTCTTAGTTTTGTGTGATTTATGTGAACATGTGAAACTTAGGAAGAGGAAGTCATATGAAGAAGAACAGGAGAGGTTTTACTTGCTTAGAAATTTTTGAGGAATGGGAGGCCTTAAGAGCAGGAAATTCAAAATAAGATTGTGAAGGGTTCAAGGGATGGCCTTGTTTAATTGTAATTACAGCTGTTCAGTTTAATTGGTGACTTGAGCTTAGGCACAAATGTAGGTATAAGAGGTGTTGAGAGTTATCTCCCTTCTCGTTTCCCAGCTGTTCTTCTGTGTTCAGGTGTTTTCATGGCAAGGAAGAAAACTGGGTTACCTTGAGAAGCAGTTGTTAGGGAGGCCAGAAGCAGGTGGTGGTTTGGTAAATGCTGCTTTTGGTATTCTAGATGTTGATACCTGTATTGGAGAGACTGAGGTGCAGAAAAATTAATCTATATGCATGAACAGAAGTAGTTACCTAGAACCAGTTACAAGTAGTCTCAAAGGACGTAAGAAAACAGCATTACTTCAGTGAATTTAAAACCTGATTTTGTGTAACTAACTGTATAGACTATTGATAAACCCATTTAAGGTTTCTAACTTAATGTTGAGGAGAAAATGTCTCTTAATTTCTGAATTGACATGTTAGGACTCCTTCAACTGTAAAAAAATGTAAAGGCTACTTGTTTGTTTGTGGTGGAATGAAGTTGGAGAGTAAGACTAGTGAAGGGACATACTGCATTATTGTAACTAGAAAGGCAAAGTGAGCTTTATGCTTGTGAAAAAGAAATATGCGTATGGTCTCCTGAAATACTTCTGCAACTGAATTATGCTGTGGTCCAGGCTGCGGACAATTTGCCTTCTCCTCTCCCCTCTCCTTTCCCCTTACACCTCCTTAGAATGCAGATGGTTGATTTATTTGAAAACACACATGATGAACAGTCTTTCTTTTTCCCTTTAGGGACCAGTTACTCTCCACAAGAAAATTCACATAACCACAGTGCTCTTCATAGTTCAAATTCACATTCTTCTAATCCCAGCAATAATCCAAGCAAAACTTCTGATGCAGTGAGTATTTGTGATTGGTATTCATCCCTGTGTTATCCCATTCATACACACATGATTTTCATCATTTTGTCTAAAACAGGTGGCATGTACATTACCTGCTTCACTGAGTTTTCCAGCATCGGTCTTTATTTTATAAATGCTCTGTAAACCCAAGCTGCAGTTGTTATATGTTGTAAAAATATTCAAATTGATAATCATTAGAGCTTTGAGGTACCTGTCTTGAATTTTAAAGTACTAGATTATTTATTTGAAGTAGACATAGAAATATTTTCCATGAACTTTATTGGTAAATCTAGAGAAGACAGTATGATTTTATTTAAGGTGCATTACACATTGTGAATTTTAGTCACTTTATTATCCAAGTTTTAGTAGTTAGGGTACTGCTTGTTAAAAATTGCACTAAAAACAGAATAGATAAGTTTGTGAAGTATAGAAAAATTTTGAAAATATAGTATTTTTGAGGAAGTTGTAAGATGCAAAAAAACTAACGTTATCAGTGTTGATATTACTGTATCCCACTAAACATACTATTAGATTTTGTTTCAGGGTTGATGGGAATAAACCAGAGGAAACTTGCAGAATGCACCAGGAGCATAGTGGTCGCATCTTTAAACTGTCAAAATGAAACAGGCATTTAGAGATGGCTTAAATAGAAAGCAGTGATATGGGTGGATAACAGGACATCATGTAGTTTTAAAAATTGTGGAAGCTTTTAAATTTGTATATTAAAACTCTCAAGTAGTTTTTTGTCCAACACTGTTTGTGTTTTAAAGGCTTATGATTCTGCGGATGATTGGTCTGAACACATCAGCTCTTCAGGCAAAAAATACTACTACAACTGCCGAACAGAAGTTTCACAATGGGAAAAACCAAAAGAGTGGCTGGAAAGGTATATGTGTGTGTCTGTTTTCATTGTATAAAGAATAAATACTCTTAATCTCATTTAAGAGCAGTTGAGCTTATCAATAGGTTACTGCTATAAAAGATGGTGGTCCGAGTCTACTGTGTTCTTACCTTTACCATGACCTCTGGCACCTGTTTTATCACTTGATGATCCAGAATGGGAGGGTGAAGTATGGTTGGTTTGGGTTTTTTTTGGTTTTGATGGGCTGTGTGGGTTTGTTTGGTTTGGGGGTTTTTTTGCAGTATTAGTGAGCTGAACATTGGGGGCTTCCACAAGCCTGGTGTAAGGAAGCAGTGGCTGGAGTTTGCCTACCCCATCTGTAGCAGCAAGTTTAGGATAGTTTTAATTCATCTCATGTAACTTCACCCATAGAAAGTGTTATATTATTAGATGATGTAATTTTTCACTTAACTTGTGTATTCTTTTCTTCAGAGAGCAGAGACAAAAAGAAGCAAGCAAAATGTCAGTCAACAGTTTTCCAAAAGATAGGGATTACAGAAGAGAGGTGATGCAGGCGACAGCTGCCAGTGGGTTTGCCAGTGGAAGTATGTGGGTTTTTTTACAGTAATATATTCTTGCCTTGTTTGCATTACTGTTTTCTTTTCCAAACTTAAAAAAAGCCCTTTAAAAATCCCTTTCCTTAGCTGTTTTTCTCACCTTTTTATACAAAAAGGCCAAAGCAGTTAGCACTGACAGCTGTCCCAAATGTTGTTTCTTAGAATAACTTTGAGCCTTTACTAGTACAATGCTTGCTTAATGCTTTTCATTGTACTACTCCTTTTTGCAGCTTTTACCACCTAACTTAATTATCTTTTGTGGTGGGTTAACCTTGTCTGGATGCCAGGTGCCCACCAGGCCCCTCTATCACTCCCCCTTCAGCAAAATAAAGGGGGAGAATAAGATGAAAAACTCGTGGGTCAAGATAAAAGCAGTTTAATTAAAGCAAAGGCCAAGGCCACGCACAGAAACAAAAGGTAAACAAAGATGTTATTCTCTGCTTCCCCTCAGTAAACGATGTCTGGCCACTTCCCGGGAAAGCAGAGCTTCAGTATGTGCAGCAGCTGCTCCTGGAGACAAACAAACCAATGCCCCCTCCTCCTCCCTGCCCTTGGCTGTTATGGCTGAGCTGGTGTCACATGGTATGGAACAGCCAATCCGGGTCAGCTGTCCTGGCTCCGCCCCCTCCCAAGCTGTGTTATAAACACCCTGCTGGCTGCCAGGGTGACCCTCAGCACTGGGAGGGCTGTTGTGGGGGTACCGACTGAATCTCAGCCAGACCCAATACATCTTTATAGATATTGATTGAAACAACTTGCACAGTTTATCATATGGCTGGACTGTTGTGATCGTTGAGACCTGTCATACTCTGAGCTTAAAACTAGACATGCAGAAGTCTCTTTTAAAACCTTGATTTCACATCTGAAAGTAAGCTAATGTAATGGATTATGGTGTCAGGGCTTTCAGGGGCTTGTGTACATTACTGAAAGCATATTTTTACCATGCCATTACTCCTAGCAAAGCCTTTCCTGGACTTTTTGTTCCGCCCCCCCCCAATACCTAGCTTCAATCTTTGTCAAATTTTGCTGGGAAATGGTTGTACTGTGAGATTCTTTCTATGTGCTGATGTAGTTTGCGTGAATTTGTAGCATGGTTCTCAGGCTGGTTTAAAGGTAGAAGCCAAAGTATTAATCTTTCCTCCCCTCCCCCGGCCTGGGACTTGGCAAGGCAGGGATGTGTAAAGGGCTGTTCTTCTGTGTATGCTGAAACATACTGCATATGCTAAGACATACTGTATGATACAAAAAGATAGCAGAAATGCATGTTGCAATAACTATTGTTTTGTGACAGGTGAAAATCTAGGAATCTATAAAAATAGTTACTCTGTATTTCCTCAGTATGTTCCCTGTGTAGCATATTTTAAAGTCTGTGATTGTGTGACAAATGCAGATTAGTCACTCATTGAATATATAGCTTCCTTGAATTAATTCCCTTCAAAGTAAATTCTTAGTAGTAGCACTCAAGTGACTTGAAGTGGAATTCTTTGAAGGCTAGAATTTGAAACTATTAAATTATACTTGATGTTCAGGATTTTCAATGAACAAAAGTTAAATGGCACAAATTATCTCTTCACGCTGAATATGAGATGGGAATAATAGATTTTGATTTAGATTTTTTAGGAGACTTCAAAAATGAACTTGACTGTAACACTTGTTATAAAGCAGCCTTTCATCAAAACACGGTGCTTAACCCGAACTCTAAATCAGGCAAAGGTCAGAGAAAATGCATTTTGTCAGTGAGTAAAATTAAATTTTGCCTTTTTTGATCATCATTTTAATCATAAGCAAGTTCAGTCAGCTCTAGTTGTTGATGTGCAGCTGTACTGAAGTTACTGCAGTCTTAGACAAGTTTCTAATGTAATCTTTTTTTCTTATTGCAACGTTACTTGGGGTATCCTGAAAAAAGTGGAAGACAAGCATTCCAGTGACGCCAGTAGTATGCTCCCACAGAATATTTTATCTCAAACAAGCAGGCACAATGACAGAGACTACAGACTGCCAAGAGCAGAGACTCACAGTAGCTCTACTCCAGTACAGCATCCCATCAAACCAGTGGTTCATCCAACTGCTACCCCAAGCACTGTTCCTCCTAGTCCGTTTTCTCTACAATCTGATCACCAGCCAAAGAAATCCTTTGATGCTAATGGAGCATCTACTTTATCAAAACTGCCTACATCCACATCTTCCATCCCTGCACAGAAAACGGAGAAAAAAGGTATGTTTAATGCAGTTCCTTCTAGTATTTAAGATGATACATTGCATTTGCGTTGCTTGTTCAAAGTATGTTCGTTCTAGAATTTAAATATATTTTTCTTATTGATTGTGTGTGCTTAGAACCTGATTACTGGTTTTATGTGTTTATTTCCCCTTAAGCCACATTTTCTGTGTCTGACACAGCTTAAAATTGATACTGCGATATTTGCTGTTTATTGGCTTATTCTGCAAATTATAATTTCAAATGATAATTTGAAAGATGTATTCTAATAGGACACATTTTAATGTTTGTCCTCCCTCATGTTGTTTTGGATCTTTGAGTTCTTAACATATGTGTAGTTACACCATTTGAATGTCATTTTGGACCATCATATTTTGTGACTTGCTTTTACTGTTTGAAATGGCAGTGTCAAACTTTTCAATAAACACAAGTGCAATTCTTACAGAAAGTGAAATGTTTCCTACATGTCTTTAACAGCTGCTCCTTTAGTTTTGGTCTGTGTCTTGTGATGTACTGGATCTTCAGTTCTAAAGCTGATGAAAGTTTGCATTTCTGTATAGCACGTACCAGAAACACTTTGCTTCGTCATCAAGCGAAGATCAGGACTTTACTGTGTGTTCTTTGTGACCCTTCAAAAGTCTATATTTTAATTGGATTTACTTCATTACTAGGAAGAACTGCTCACAAAGATTGTGAGAATGGACATGTGTTATTAGTGATAGTGTGATAATACTTCGGTATAGTAGAGTTCTTAGAGAGTGACATTTTATAAGAAAAATCTTTTGGGGGCTTTGGGGAGGGGAAAAAGTAATTTTTTATAAACTTGTCTGGTTTTAATTTTAAATATTGCTTAATTAGTATGACACTGAATTCTTTTTTTGAAAGATGGCTTTCTGCCCTGTTGATATTTGCAAGTCTGTCTAGTTAGAGAAGAATATTTAATTGTTATGAAGAAGACCAAAAACACTTGGGTCTGACATTGGTCTTATACTCTGCATTTGCTTTCCTGCCTTACAGTTTTCTCTATTAAAGAATTCGAGCTTTTACCCAGTGTCCTGGGTTAAGCTGAGACAAAGTTAACTTTCTTCATAATAGCTAGCAAGAGGCTGTGTTTTGGATTTGTGCTCAGAAGAAAGCTGATAAAAAGTGATGTTTACTGCTGCTGCCAAGCTCCTTCAGCTTCTCTGCTCTCTGCAGACAGGAGAAGCTGGGAGGGAGCACAGCCCCAATTACTAGCCTAGGATTTGATGTTAGGTTTAGGATTGAGACCCAAAATAGCCAATAATCTATAACATACACGTCATGCCTGGTATATAGGTAAGGGCCCTCTGCAAGCTTGTCCCTTTTTGTTCAGGATCTCTTTAGCTCCAGGTCATCTTGTTCCAGGTGGTCCCTCTCCCAAGGCCTTCTCCCCTCTTTGGTCAGCTCTTGGTCTGGGACGCTAAACCCAGGACACCCAGAGATAAGTGCGCTTGGTCATCCAAAATACCCAGACAATACCATACATTGGCAAATACTGCAGTGTAAGAAATTGTGCATGTAAAGAAGTTTAGTATGTTTTTCTTGAGACTTTGTGCAATTTTTACATGATCTAGTACATGAATGTTGACTGTAAACTACAGAGGAACAGAAGTTTTTCAGAAAGCCTTTTTCTATTAAACACAGTAAAGCAAGAAATAAGGTGTACTAGTTTATGCATGGTTGTTGTACTGACTACCATAGTTACCTGCTTCAGTTCAGCATCTGTTTTTTGATTGCAGTTTGATGCACTTGTAAACATAACAGTGCAAAACATCCATGTCAAGTGTTCTCTCCTTTTTTGTATCCTCTCTATTTCCATTTTTGAAATATACTTAAAGAAAACCCTTATTACTCAGTTTTGGTATGTACTTGATTCCTGTTTGGTGTGTGGTCAAACTGGATATATTGTTTCCCTTCTTTACTGTATGCCTTTATTAGTTGCTTCCACTTAAACTGAGCAACTGAATCTTACTGCGAGTGAAGGAATTTCCCACTGTGACAATTGCTACAAATGTTGGCATGGATTTCTAGTATTTCTTACATATGACATTCATTTGAGAACATCCGGTTGGATATAAATAGTGAAAATGATCACACAGGGCAGTCTAGACACTATAAATCTTACTTTAGAATTTGTGTTACAATGGATGGTTCCATATTAAATAATCACTTAATTTCTGTATTCCTATGTAGTTTTTTTAAGTTTATGTGGGTTAAATTGATAGATTCTCTATAATACTCTCACCTTGTTGATGTGTTTCATAGCACTTCATTGTGAGCAAAATCACTTTCTGAGCTTCCAACAGGGTGGATTACAGAAAGTTGATAAGCAACTGAAGAATCAGAATAGATGAATGTTAGGCTTGAAATACGTATTCCAGAAAATGTGAATTTTCACATGTTGCTGGAATACCTCTCTTGCAGAAACAGAAAAATTCAGTGCAGCTTATATTATGATAAGAGATCATTCAGAGAGTATATTAAATAGTCTTGCCTTTTTTTATGAATGTTGGATTACTTTTTTTTTTAGATAAGAAATTTGACCGGTATAATTTCTGCAGCATTTTAAGTATTTAAATCTAAAAGAAGGGAGGAAAGAGTGGAGGCCTGTATCTAGTGGAGTCCCCCAGGGTTCAGTATTGGGACCGATACTATTCAATATATTCATCAACGACTTGTATGCAGTGTTTAACAGTATTTGTTTGTAGCTATTATACAAGATGGAAAAAAAAAATTGTCGTTATACACTCAGTTCAGACTCAGTTGTGAAAGTACCTTTGTAAAATTGGAAAGTAGTTCGAGGGGTTTATTTTTACACTAGTAAAGCAAACAGCATTTGATCTTTTTCTGTTCGCTACCTGTGCCATCCCTCTCTCTTTCTAAAAAGAGGTAAAGCTGTATTTTTTGCTTATGAAAATAGCTTGGTCCAAATGACTGAATAGTATGTGCAGTAGTCCTTGCCTAAATGAGTTCTTGCTTCTTGTCAATGTGTTGCTGGAAGCCTTATGCCAGCTTATATGTACCACTGTTTTAATAGTTCTGTTCTTAGTGTGTATTTTTAATGCAGTAATAGTTGTGAAAAACAAAACAACAAAAAAACCACAAAAACCAACAACACTTTTTTCAGCTTAATCTCTTTTGCTGCAGGGGTATGTTGTAGTCCCACAAGGAGATTGAATAAAATCCCTGGCTGAACTATAGCTCAGCTGTTAGCAGTAGTCCTCTGCCCTCAATGGCTGGCAGTAGTGGAGAGTTCCTGGGGAACTATTTGACCTCTACCCTTTGGTTTGAATGTTCCAGTCAGAATCTGCTGCTTCTGTTTGTGCTCACTGTGAGTGCTTTATGCAGGTAAAGTGTGGGGTTGCTTTTCCTACTTTCTGGCTGCTTTATCTGTAGGGCACATCACATTTTCCTATTTCTAATTGAGTTACTGAATAAAATGATGTATTGTCCATATCTTAACAGTGTGTCTGTCTGTAGGATACTTACTACCTTTCCTCCAGGTCCTGTCAGGCAGTGTTTCTGTTTCTAGTGCAGCAGTACTCTTAATTTTTTCTGAAAAGACTCAGCAAGCTGGCCAGTGCAATGCTGGGTGGGTTGTGACCCAGATGCTGACAAAATAAAGTGGTCAGTGACAGCTGAGCTTCTTCCTCATCCTTTTTTCCACTCTGTGGTTTTCTTTCTTGTAACACTTGCTAGTCCTTACCAGTCAGTTATTAACATTGCTTCTGGTATTGTTTCATCTTCTTTGGCCGTGTTTTGCAGTTGTAAGTATGTTACCCAACTCATATAGTGGTCAGAAAAAATTACACTAGTGAGACTGTTAGAGGTTTCTTCCAGTACTTTATACTTGTTTGCTGAGCGTTGCTGTTACATTTATTTTGACAGCAGAAATAAAATATGAAAATTCAGTTTTAAGACTGGAGAAATACAAATGGGAAAAATATGGTATTTTTTGTATTTTAGATAATTTGAGCATATTTGAGAACAAAGTTGTTGCCATAATTTCATTTGTCCAAATGTATTTACAAAATGCATTGCTTTTAAATCTTTATATATTTTGGTATGGCTTAAGGTCCCTTAGTAGGTCAAAACTGAACTATGTAAAAAAGGTAAATGTCACTGTTGCTGCTCAGAGAACTTAGTTGGTGGACTCTGCCAGCACAGGTGAATGTGTTAAGATTCTTAATTGTCAGCAGTAAATCAAGCAGTTCAATTAGCTGTTCTAGGTGGTAGTTGTTTCATTAGTATAGCAGAGGTGAAGTTTATGGGGCAATAAGGCATTGAATTTCTGAAAATTTTGTAATGCCGTTTTCCTCCCACAGAGAGCACAGTGTGAGAGCACACGTGCATGACTGTTGCTAGCAGAGCAAAGGTACAGCTCAAGCTCACAATAGAGTGATTGGGTAATATTGTGTAGCGTTGAACCTGAAGGACTTTGAATATATTGATTTTGTTTTAAATGGAATAAAAAATTACATCAGTAGTAAAAGCTATTGGAACCCTCAAAGGATCACACCAATAATTTGGGAATTATCCAGTCAACAGTAGTGGGTAATTTTCATTACATTGAAAAAAATCTTCCTTGAAATAAATCGGCTATCCATATATGTGGCAGAATAAGAGCAAGCTATATAGAGCAGTATTTTAAAACTACTTGTTGTATAGGGAGTACTAGTATGTTAGTTGTCAGGAGGACTGTGAAGGAAGCTCTTGCACAAAAAATGCTTTTCCTCTTCTTGTTTCTTTTTTCTCCCACTCACTTCTCTGTCACACTAACACGCCTGAATAACTCGGCACACCATGGGCAAAAAGGGAGTGAGCAAGTACCAGGAGCAGGTACTTAAAGGACTCCAGCAGACAGAGCAGGGTGTCTGAGGCACAACAGAGGTGGGGGAGTGTTGCTCTCAAGAGCTATTCATTGAAACAGAGTAGCTGGACAGTCAGAAGACTTAGTTTTTCACCCCTCTGCATTAACCCTAGTCTGCATAACTTTATTTTAACTGTAACAGGCTATGAATTGCCTTTCAGAATGAGATTCGCTAGTGGATCAGCTGTTTGCTTAGGAGCAAAGTTTCTTGTCATGAGAGGCAGAGACTGGTAACAGCAAGATTCATCAGCATTTTAATACCCTGCCTCAAACTCTGAGAAGCGAAGCATTTACCTTCTTGTATCTAGGTTGTAATTGAAGAACATTGTGGCACAGTTGCTGAAAATGCTGTGTGGATTTTTTCTGAAAGGATTACTTGGCTTTGTTATTAAAAAATGCACACTTCTTGTAAATATGCAGTGTAATGTTTTTGTTCTGACTTGAGGTGGTGTTTCTGGGGCAAGTAATAGCCTCCAGTTTACCTCAGTTCAGATTCTCTGAAACCTGCAGCAAAGACGCACCTTTGTCATGCAGGTTCTTGCCATATAGAATACTGCCTGATAACTCAGACTTCTTTTTGTCCAGAAGATGTAATTGCAGGTCACTTTCCAGCAGAATAGACTATTAATAGAAAGCCCTTTTCTATTCATTGTGGTCTTCAAAAATTGTTTTCATTATTAAAACCTTTTCTCCTGCTCCATTTTAATGTAAAACCAGTTAATGGTTCCTTGCATTAATCTCTACATCTATTTTTTTGGTTTTTTGATTGTCATCCGATTACTTTGTTTTCCTTTTTTTCTTTTTTTTTTTTTTTATGTGGATGGCTTTGTTTTTTGCTCTTTTTTTTCCCATATGATTAAAGTTGAAAGTCCAGAAACTTGTTTAGTTCTATATTGTGGTTCTATATGTAGGCTGCATCTAATTAACTTGTTTACATGATTGTCAGAAAGCATACTGTATTTTCATATTGTCACAACAAAGTGAATGGATTTTTTTTAGACATTTTCTTAAAAGCGCCAGAAGTTGAAACTTTAATATGCTTAGTTTATTATGGAGAAATTGATGCAAAGTAATATTTTTAAAATCACTGAAGATTACTTTAAAAGTAATCCACTTTTTTGTATTTATTCAGAGGAAGAGCTAAAATGTAAATTTTAATTAACAAAGTTTTCAACAGTTAAAAAGATCACAGCAGGATATGGTATGCTTTTGGTCTTAATTTTTTTTTTTCTTCTTTATAAGTTTTCCATAGAAATTTCATGATAATAGCTGAAATTTTATGTGAGGTTGAAGAGTCATTTGCGTAGCATTTGTATGAAAATTGGTGTTGACAATCAAGAGGCTGCAGAGCTGCCCTGTCCAATATCAGGCAACTTCAACCAGAGTCTGAGACTTTTGCAGGCCTTGCAGATTAGTTTGTATTTTCCTTAAGAATATTTTTTGTGTAAGACACAGGCCAAGTTTATATTTTCTGTTTTTAAAATTTCAGTTGTAGGTTTAAAATTAGTCTGATGTATTAATGATTCCAATTAGGTTTATGAATGACTGCTCTGTAATAAAAAGCCTATTTAGCAATAATACTGTAGTTGGCTTGTTAGTGAACATGAACTTATGTTGGCACAGGTATAGAGACCAGTGTAGCAGAGCTGTAAAACTAAAGGACTTAGATTTGTAAAGGTATTTAACTTTTCTCAGTATGCTGTGTTCATTTTGACTGTTTCATGCGATTGAAGCTTCAGATGCGTTTAAGAGTTAGAGGACTGTATAGTTCTAAGCAGTTTTCTTAAATCCTAAAGGTAAATGTTTTAGAAACTAGGAAATAGTGTTTGAATGTTGAAAAGTAAACTGTGTGGCAAAATATACAATGAAACAGTCTCTCAAAGCAGACAAAAGGGGAATTAGAGAGCAAGAGGAGGGAGTGAAAAGTTTCTGCTTCTATTTGTGGAAAAAACAAGGGAAATGCACGCACCCCAGTGAGTGATATCTGAGGATTTTTGTGAAACAAACATTTCTTCACATCACTTTCTCTAGGTGTTTAATCTGGGTGATTGCACAAAAAATTATATTTCACATGTATATTTTAATGCATACTTAAACACTTGCAGTAATACAGCTGCAGAAGAGTGTCTCCATATTGTCTAAAAGAATTAACTGGACTGTGTTGTTTTGATGTAATTCAGTTTGCATTTTTATAGCAGAGAAGTTCACCCAAACTAAAGTACTTTTACAGACCTCTTGGAATTCAGTGGGTTTGTATTACATATTTTGAGTCCTTATATTCAATAAATTAGTAAATAACCAGAACTGGTCTGATGGTTTGTCTTCACTGTGTTGTTAGCTTGAGTTTGCCTTGGATTCAGTTTATTTTGTGTTCAAATCTGTAGTGTGGGTGAAAAATACTGCTAGCTGTTTGGTATGGTGGTGTGGTTTGAAGCTCAGGTATTGCTTATGTGAATTAATAATGCAGTAGTGAGTTGCTTTTTTGCATAAAACAGCTCAATTCAACTGTGAAGCCTAACTAAATTAAATATGTTTTGAAATTAGTGCAGGTAGTCTCTTAGTATTTTTTTTTCCTGTTTTGTTTGGGTATCTTTTTTCATTTTTGTTGGTTATTTTTTTATAAGGTTCTCAAAACTAGGGTAGGAGACTTGTACATATAAGTACCAACATGCTGCGTTGTGCCTAATTCCCTTGCTTTTGTCTGCAAGTGTATCATATCCTTACGTGAGAGATGCAAATTTGGTTTAACCTTTACATGTTTTTGTTTAGTGTGGTAAAACTGTTGTTTGCTTGATGTGTCTTGACTTGCAGTTGTCTTAATAAGTTTACTTTGAACACCATAACGTAAGATTTAGTACTACAGAGACTTTTACTAATGACTTACTGTTTCATTGGGGTGCTGATACCTAATCAACTGTCCTAGTAACATGTTACTGAAAACCATACAAAATTTTTGGAACTGCTTTTTTTCCTTTTCAGTCTTTGTAGCACTTTTTGTCCCTTTGTAAGTTGTTCTTATGAAAGCTTCTGACCAAATGGCCAAGTCCCTTTACAGACATATTGAAAGACAACTGCTTGTCATGAGGAGCTTGTAACTAGATAAGGCCGCCTGTTTTTCAGACGTTTGCCTGAAACATCAAAACATGCCTATGTGCCCTGGCTGTTGCATCCTTGCAAGCTGTCAAATTTGGATTCTTCAGCATTTTTTTCCTCATTTAGATTTCTCAGCTATTTGACTCAAAAAGGTTTTTTTGGAGTATTTGTGACCTGTTATTAACTATTTCTGCTGTAACTGCACAGAACCAGAAGTCCCCTTTCTTTCACTGAGATTTCTAATCTGATTTGCTTTATGTATTGATACTCATTTCAGTCATTTTTTATTTTTATTTTTTTAGGGTTCTTTTACAAATTCTCAAAAGCTGCAATTAAGGCTGTCAGAACACAAAAGCTTTTAGAAATATTATAACATTTTATTCTTGTGTAATAAACCAAAACAAGACCTTTTTGTTTTTCTTCTTTACTACAAGTCAGCCTCTTCCTACCTGGACTATGTCTCCAAAGAAAAAAAAGAAATCTAACACACCTTTAGAGTAAAAGAGTTTCCTAGGCAATTATTTTAGCTTTTATTTGGATTTTTGCCTGAAATGTGGAATATCCAGGTTGACATTCTCTGCCCAGTTTGAGGTGGGTTTAAAGTCCAGGTCTTCTGTATTATGGGCAAGCATCCTCAGTGAGATCTTGGATCCATATCCATCGTTCCACTCTTATCCAACCTTTTTGGTGCTATAGAGGCATTAGTCTTGACTGAATTTGGGGGCAGAAGTGTCTGATGGGTTTAATGGGGATAAGAGAAGGGGGGGCTAAAATTGAAATGTAGTGGGGCAGGCTTCTTATTAAAGGAAGGATATTTGAAGTGACTGATGGTACACCTGTAGTAAGTGGAAATACTTGCAGTGCAGGAATTGCTCACAGTAGTGGAATGGAGGAGAAACTTTCATGTTAATTGGAAGTCTAATTTAAAATTAATTAAATAACTCACATTAATTAGAACAAATTGCCATACAGTATAATTGAATTTAAGTACTAAGCTTTTCTGTGGATATGTGTTGATATTTGTTAAAATTAGATTAATAAAATAAAGGCTATAGGTCTTGATGCTTCAGGAGAAGCTGACAAATTTGAAATTATGTGCAGATAGATTTTTAGATGTTTTTCCACTCTGTTATAGAGATGTTAACAGCTCGTTTTACATTTCTAGTACAGCTCGTTATCCTGTCTGTGAATCCTCAGCAATGTAGCTGGATTGTTTATGGTAGACTTGGTCTTTATTTCCTAGCTTCTTGTAGGCTGGTCTCTGCATAAACAAAGCATGGTTTATACCCTCCCTTCGAATTTGACATATTAGCCTGTCTGTCAGGTCCACGGACTATAAGGTTTCTGTTCATAGTATATTTTCCAAAGAAAGACATAATTATTAGTGAAAAGATAGAATATGAGTAATTGCACAGTAAAATAAAAAAAATCACTAAGGAATATTTGGCCAACATTTGTCCTAAAAATTAGGGGGAAAAATTCCCATTTGTAGTACTGGCAGATTTCAGTCCAGTATCTTGAAGTAGAAAAATTGTGTGTGTTCCTAATAAATACTAGGTTCAATAGCACAAGTTACACTAGGTAGCAAATATCTTCAGTTTTTGTTATATTCATGTTTTATTTTTCTTATAGTTACAGATTTGTTCTACTGAATTTAATGAGTATTGTACTAGTGAGAAGTTGTCAGGTTATATTGGGGAAAATGAAAATTACTGTCTGTCTTCTGTTCAGAGTCTGCATCTGTGGACAAGTCTGTATCCCATTCTTGCACAACTCCTTCTACATCTTCTGCTTCTGGACTGAATCCATCTTCTGCACCTGCTTCATCGGCTCCTACAGTTCCTGTCTCACCTGTCCCACAATCACCAATTCCTCCATTACTTCAGGACCCAAATCTGCTTCGACAGCTGCTGCCTGCTCTGCAAGCCACATTGCAGCTTAATAATTCTAGTGTAGATATATCCAAAATCAATGAAGGTAAGGATTCTTTAAAGTTGATCTAATCTCTGTTTTACACACATTAGTATATTATTGGATACTAAGCTGTAGTAAATGCAAGCTTTACTTTGAATGAAAAGTGAATAAAGGAATCCCTAGATCAAGTGGGGATTGTTTTTGTTTGCTTTTTTTTTTTTTCCCGTTAGACCTTTTTAAATTAGCCAAGTAACATTTAAGGTTGTTAAACTAATAAATGCTGATGGACATGAGCACTCTTAATTGAGACTGGTGACTTAATTGCTGTATCAGCATCCGTCTGTTGCACAAAATTTAGAGCTTTTTGTTCTTTTGTTTCGTGCCATGTTCTTTGTTTTCTATAGTTTGCTGCTATTCTAATATGTGTTTGCAAATACTGAAACTTCCAGGGATTCTTAAATCTTGTTGCCTATAAATTTTTTTTCTTTAGGAGAACATGGTAGCCTCTCAGAATAAAGATAGCATATCAGTAATTTTGCCAGCAAGTTAAATTTTGTGCATAAAATCAGTGTATCCCTTAGATTATTGTCACATTGGCCTAGTTTATTAGAAGAAAGTTCATAACTAGCTGTAGTGCCTTTCACTGCAAGAACAGGTGGAGTTGATGCATTTTGAATGTAATCTTATCTAATGTGGTGTCTGCGTGTGGCAGGTTACTGATGAAGAAAGTGGTGTGGGATTTTTTTTGTTTGCTTCTTTAAGCTTCTTCTGTACTGATCACCAATTTAAATAGGAAGCAAAAAATTTACATGTAATGCCCAGAGTTCATTATCTTTAACTTTTAAAAAGTACGAACCATGAAAGTCAAAATAGTAGAAATTTTACTTAAAATTTTACTATTATGTATGTTACAATTACCTTATAAGGAAAAGCTGTCAATTTACTTCCTTTTAATTGGGAAATATTATGGCTTCAGTACTAATAGGTGGGTAGGTTATTGTTTTTTCTTGTGGAGGGAGAAGCTTTTAAAACTGTAGTGCACTATTTTGGACTAAAAAAGTAGGAGTATTGTGGTTGTCTGTGTTAAAAAATGAAAGGTCCAATCAAGACTCCAATTGTATTTTATTAGGAAACTGCCAATTTAAGTTCCTAATCATTTTCTCTTGCCATATCTGAGCAGCAGTTGTGCCTGTCTTGTGTTTAGTATTGTTCTGATGGCATGAGGGCCTGGCTGGCAGGTCCGCGTGGGCAGAATGACTTCACCTTGCACAGCAGCACTGCCTTTACTGTGCACATGATGCAGAGTTATTCTGTGTTTGTGCTGGTGAGTCAGTTTTTTCAGACTTGTACATGGGCAGTGTAGGTTCAGGAAGTATCCCACAGAGCCTGTAGACCTTTTTGAAAAGATTTGTTCAGAAGCTGGATCTCATCAGCTCGTGCTGTAAGATACTCTTCCTATGTAGTACAATTTTAAAACAGCTGGTTGAAAATGATTATTTTTTTTCTGGAGTAGAGGGGGATGGGACAGCTAAATGCAGAACAAGTAAGTTTTGTGGTTGGAGTGTTTTGGTGGGTTTTTTTCATTTGTTTGGGGGGGTTTTGTTTTGGTTTTTTTGTTTGGTTGTTTGGGGGTGTTTTGGGGTTTGGTTTTTTTGTTTGTTTTGTTTTTTTAAGAAGAAGCACTGAGTGTCTGGATTTTTAACTTGAAAGATGCCTTTCCTGGAATGGGGAAGTCTTCTCCTCCTCCCCTGCTGCCCCGCTTGCCTTTTAGTGAGTTAGTGATACTGTTTTTTTTGCCTTTTTAAAAAAAAGTATTGTAGTTTAGAAAAAAACAATCAAAAAAGCCCACCACCCAAACAAACAAAAAACCCAAAACCCACACATTCTCCTTACTAGAATAACTAACTGAGCAAATGTTCTCTATGTTTACAAGAATTATTATTGATCCATAAGGTCAAGCTGAGGAGTTAGTTATTTTTGAAAATAATTTTTTTTTAGTGTACATATCAAAGTTAAAACTACTAAATAAAGGACTTGGTTAGACATGCCAAGCATTCATGAATTGGATTCAAGTAATTGAAAAATAGTTCAGGTGGCTTTTTGGTCTATTTTGGATATGGGAACAAACTCAGAAAGAAAATGTGGCTTAAATATATTTAGCCAGTTTGAATAGTTTAAAGTGATGTTCTAGAATTGTCAGTAAAACAATGTTTGTTTTTAGTTCTAACAGCAGCTGTGACACAAGCCTCTCTGCAGTCTATACTCCATAAAATTCTTACTGCTGGACCATCTGCTTTCAATATCACTTCCCTAATTTCTCAAGCTGCACAACTGTCTACGCAAGGTATTCAGAGTCTTCTTTTCCCTTAAGTAAAATTGTTACGTTGCATTTTTATAAAGGCTGATACAACTGAAATTTGTAGAAGCTGTCCCTTGTTGTATCTTTGGCCACCTGGCGTGGAGGATGTTCAGTGACTCCTTCCAAAGATAGGATAAGAAATTGTTACTTGGGGAGCAGGAAGCTGACACGCAACTAAGTAAATGTGCTTCGCTGTCTTGCCCTTTGGGATTTTTTTTGTGTGTTAACTAACTCTATAGAGTAATGTGAAACATATGCGAAACCCTCTCAATTTATCTTGAACCTTAATTAGATATTGTTTAATGTTCAATATAAAACACAACTCTTCCTTGCTTGAACACCCTTCTTCTAATACTGTGCAACTGTGACTCCTGGGGGAGGCATTAAATTCTTAAATGAAAGTTTATTCTGTCTGGTGGGGGTTTTTTTAATAGCCTTCTGTAAATAGTATTTTTCATCTTCCAATGAAGATATTCCTTCAGGTATCTTCAGTACTTTCTGGTTTGTAACTGAATAAAGCTAGAAACTTAAACCAAAACAATAAATGCAGTCATGTTATTGAGTAGGTGAGAAGTATTATGCTAATAATAATTTTTAACCAGTAATTAAAACAAGGGCAGAAGACTATTGATAGATGCATAGAATGGGTGAGTAGGTTTCCAGATGAACTGTTCGAGCACTCATTCAGTTAAATCGAGTTTAGCATTCTAAAATAAGTATTGCATTTAGTCTCTTAATGTGTAAAAAGTATTGCATAATAGTTTGTTCTTTCTCCCTATCCTCAAGTTTTAGAAGTGGAGAGTTTGGGGAAAATATGATTCTTTAGCTAGGATTGTTGTTGGACGTTTGATTGTTCCAGTTATTTCCCCCCCCCAACTGTCTAATTCACATTTAAAGAAAGGATATGGCTTTATTAAAAACAACCTTTTTTTTTTTTCTTTACAGCTCAGCCGTCTAATCAGTCTCCAATGTCTTTAACATCTGATGCCTCATCACCAAGATCATATGTATCTCCAAGAATAAGCACGCCTCAGACTAACACTGTTCCGCTTAAACCTTTGATGACTACGCCACCAGTATCATCACAGCAGAAGGTAGACTCCTTTTGATTTATGCCATATTGTAGTAAGAAACCACTACAGGTAATATTAAGTACTGCTGCTATATATCCATGTGTTAGCATTTATATATAGGATGATAAAATATGTGTGTTATCTTTCCCAATAGAAACAGAAACAACTGGAAGCAACTACGTGGATGTATTTTTGCAGTACAACTCTAGCATGGAATTCCAGTACACTTTTCTGTTCTTGAAGAAAATCTTGTGCTCGCTTCAGATGCTGTCTGGAGATAATTACCAAGAGATCAGTATTTTAGCATATTTAAGTGGAAACAAAAACATACTCTAAAGGCAACAGCTGATACAATTCTCTAGACTTTAGACAATAAATATTTTTAGAATGGGAGAAAAGTTCTTGGGGAAGTTGACTTGATGTGGTCTCAAATTTGGTTTAGAAATGTTCTGGGTGTTCACAAAGTAACATTATGACCCTTTCCCTTCCTGTCCTGTCACCCCCATTCATTCAGAATTCCTTAATTGAATCAGCAGCTAGGAAACGTTAATTTAAGCTAACAAATAAGCTCCTAAAGTTCTTCCTAAGGATTAAGTAGAAAACAGAAACTACAAAACAAGGTTGTCTTTTTTAGTTTTTTCTTCTGTGTGATCTCTATAGTGGGTCACTCTTCAGAGGAAAAATGTCTTTTGCAGAATCTGAGCTTAGTATTCCATATCCTACAAGTGGCGATTTTGAGGAATAAATACGATTGAAGCTGAGATTGATTGTTCAGTTAGTTATTTTCTCTGTCCCGCAGATCAGAGATTTCTGTTTTGGTGTGTACAGGTGGGGAAAGTAGATATAAGTAGAGGCACTCAAGATAAACTTCCTCTTAAGGGTTTTTCTTTTTCCCTTGTTTAAAGACTTCTAATTTTATGGAGCAAGGGTGGGAGGAGATAACTGGGTTAAATGACCTATTATGAAGGAGGATTTTGTTACTGAAGGGGACCGAAGGTAGAGCTATTGATTTGCACCCTCTAGTGGAAAGTAATCTTTTATGCTTAAGATAGTTTTGTAGTGACAGGTAGAGCTGAAGGGCATAACACTCTTGTGCCTTTTAGGCAATTTTAAAAAAACTAAAACAAAAATTTAGCAGTTTACAGTGTTGTTCTGGCTGTGAAAAATGGAAATCCATTCAGAGGAGGATTTGGACCTGAGGTAGAGGTTTGCTGTTTTCATGCAATGGGAGCTTGTCCTGTCTCTTTGTTGAACAGATCTTTCTTCCAGGATTGAGACTCTCAGATTTTAACCCAGTCTATCAGTATGCAGCTCAGTGTATGTAGTATCTTACCGGCATAGGGAGCATGACTCTGGACTTTGGGGTGAGACCAGACTTGTTTGGGTTTTTTTGTTGTTGTTGTGTCTGGGTTTTCTTTTTTTTTCTGAAATCCCTGTTCTCCACCCTTCCCCTCTGCTTAGCTAAGGCATCTTTCTGTCAATTTTCTGCTTGTAAGAAAACCTCTTATGTCTTGACAGCCTTTAAGGAATACTTTTATCTTCAGGAGGACAGATTGTATTCTTCATTCTAGTCTAAATGCCTCATTTTCTTACATTTGAGTTTTTTCATGGGTACAAAGAAAACCAAGTGATTCTCCCAGTTTGTTGGGCTTGACAGTAGTAAAACGAATTGTGAAATCCTTATGCGTGTACTAATCCTGCTTGTTGTCTTTCTTTCTGCCCTTGAAGTGCATCCTGAATCTATGTGGTCACATCCCATAGCTATGTGACAAGTCATGAAATTATCAAATAGCAGACTTGAATCAAAGAAAGATGTCTAGCACTTTCAAATCCTGAGATACAGAAAAGAATCTTGAGTTGTTTACTGTCAATAACTGGAAGTTGATTTCTTCTGGTCTCTACAACCTTCTTGAAGGAAGAAGAGCTCATCAGGATTGTTTCCCCCCCTTCACGGCTAAATGCAGGTTTGAGAGAGTTGATTTGAGTTTAGTGTAAGTTGTAACTACAGCAAGGATGCCATTCTTCAAAAACCAACAAAAGAAGCATTGGTTACTTTAGCTTTGTCTGAGAGAATCTCCACTTACATGCAGGGCTCTTTGATTGCCTATAGTTAGTGGCTTGGCATGCAGGATTTCACTTTTGGTATTTTCAAAGAAGGATATTGTGTGTTTTATTTAGATATACATAGAATCATAGAATGGCCTGGGTTGAAAAGAACCATAGAGATCATCTAGTTTCAACCCCCCCGCCATATGCAGGGCCGCCAGCCACTTAGACCAGGCTGCTCAGAGCCAGAACCAGCCTGGCCTTGAATGCCTCCAGGG